CAAGTACCTCATATTCCGGGCTGGCCCCACATTGTGAAGAAAAGAGTATGAACTTTATGCCTTAAATTTTTAAAGATCTTATAATTTTAGATGTATCACTAGCTTAAAAAAAAAAAAAATTAAATCTATTAAATTTTAAACCTTACAAAAAAACTCTAAAAAATTAAATTCAATCAAAATTTTTATTGCAATAATTTGGGTTTATAATCTAATTCATAATATTAAAAACTTAAAATTTAAAAAATAAAAATATATTCAAAAGTCAATTTATATTTACTCACACACACTCTCTTTTCTCTCTCTCCATCAAGTAAAAAAAATTAAAAAAATTAAAATATCTTTCTCGATAATATTAACACATTTTTCTTTTAATTCCATCTCACATAGAAAATTAAAAATAAATTAATTTGTTTTAAAAAATAATACTAAAAATAAAAAGACATTCATTTAATATTTCTGCTTTAAGCCTCAAATTGGGAGGGGCGGGGCTTATATCAAGATCTATGACTTAGATTTACTTTGGATACTATAACCCCAATCCGGAAATATTAGATTCGAATATTCACTATGAAATAGTTCTTAAAAAATAAGTAGATAAGAATCAATATTTTATCTACTATTACACTTTCAGTTCGTACTAGATTACTTATAAGTGAACTTAATGAAGAAAATTTGGATGTCAACGATGACTAATAAAATTGTGTTTGTGTGTTTGAGTGAGAGAGAGAGAGAGTGATGTCCCAGTCTCACCTAAGCCAGCAGAGATGCTGGTAGAACTGTGGCCGGCACCAAACGCATCATGTATACTCTCATCCCTCTTGGGGAAGCCTGATAGACCACAAGTTTGTCGAATTGTATGCATTCTCGACCTCCTACCCGTCAAAATCTTATGTGGGTATGTCTGCAAAACCGCCCAAAAACTCCATTCATCAACAACAAAACAAATAATGTTTTTAGTTTTGAAATTGTTCGTCACTAAAAGTTTAAAATTTCGATGCTAGATAGCTTCAATGAAGATTTTTTTTGAGAATCACTAAAAATTCGATGCTAATTGATTATAGTGACAAATGGTAATAGTAGTCATTGATGTGACACTTTGTAGAGATCATACTCTCTCTCTCATCACAACAATACCGTCTTTAGCGACCAATAAAATCGTCCCAAAAGATCTCAAAGATTTGTCGCTAAAGGATATTATTTCTTCAAAATTCCAAACTCACCTGGTGCCCAACGTCCCAAATGATCTTGTCTTCTGGTGTGTTGAATACATGGTGAAGTGCGACAGTTAGCTCAGCCACTCCAAGGCTAGCGCTTAGGTGGCCGCCGGTCTTAGAGACGGTATAGACAATTTCTTCCCGGAGTTCATCTGCAACTTCTCAAGCTCCTAAAAACAACTTGATTTAAGTAAAATATAGTAGCGACAAAATTCGTGTGCACAAAATTTATAACCAGTAATATTTTTTCATGTCGATCTTTATTTTCTACATCTTTTGCCCAAAACTTGAGAAGTTGAGAACTATAGAAAGTTACAGTACTTCAACAATAAATATTTTAAGTTATGTTAAATAACTTCCAGATTTTTCACATTACAGTCTCAACTAACACTTTGTTTTATATTGTCCCAATCATAAATGTCTGTTATCTTTTTGGACAGAAATCGTAGAAATAAATTGAAAAAAATTACAAATTTTGAGAGACAAAATGAAATAACTTTCCGTTAAATATGTAATGGACTTTAATATTTGAGACAGTATGAAATTAATCACATAGTTAAGGGTATAATATGAGAAATCTGATAGTTTAGAGGACAAAGTGACAAAAAATGTTAATAATTTACAGGCGTAAGTGTAATTTACCCAACTTAAAGCAAAGCGAAGCATGTGGATGAGAAAGTAGAGAGATTTAATTGTACCTCGACGGAAAGATTATTCATGTGAATTGGATGGTTAATGGTATCCAAGATTGGAGTAATTGGCTTCTCTCCTGAAAAATTCAGCGTTCTTGTGGCCTGTCCATTGATTTTTGTTGAGTCGTCTCTCTTGACTGGGACATCGTTTTCTTTGCTGGCTTTGTTGTCCTGAGCAGCTACGACCCCAGTAAACTGTAAACCAACAGAGAGAGAGAGAGAGATTTGTGTGAGTTCACAGAGTATGCATTACCTGAATGTTTAACAATCTTTAACCCATCTCTCATTGTCTTTCAATTCAAGGCACTGGGTGTGTGTCCTTCTGGGTGCTTGTGTGCGTTGTTTGTGTGTGTGTATGAGAGAGAGAGAGAGAGAGAGAGAGAGACCTTTCGCTTGTTACTGGGAAGAATGGGTTTGGCAGCAGCTAAAAGGCTGGAAGAAGAGTACCCATCTTGAATGTGTAGAGATGGAAGGAAGCTACTTTTGAAGACACCACAAGAAGCCATCTCTCTCTCTCTCTCTCTCTCTCTCTCTCTCTCTCTGTGAGTGTATGAATCTGTGTCTGCTGGAAACTTGGAGGAAGTATTGAAGCAATTAATCTTGGCAGGGGTAGAGCTTGAGAAAAATGCGAGGATATGAGGCCTTTTATATAGCAAAAACGAGTGCAACAAGTGGTGGTAAATAAAATGTTTATAAAGCCCTATACAGGAATTTCCTCTATTTTAGATCTTCCAATGATTTTTTCTTCTGTTTACCTAATCTTCCTCACCCACTTCATCTTATTATTATTGCATTCAGCACTATATTCTAGCAAATATTGAAAAATCACCACTAATTTCAATAACATCAGCAAATTGGGTCCAATAATGATACCCAAGTAGCATATTCATTATTTTGGGAAAATAATTTATCAATCAATATCATTGATGAATTTTGATCCTCTCCATTTCAAAATTTATCAAGCTTAATCATGTTTAATCATCTAGTTTTAAAAACATTTTTTTCAAGATATTATATAATGAATCGGAAAAACACTAAAATTTGAAATGCACAATAGTCCAAAAGTTTAATATCTCTATATATCACAACCTAAAAATCAAATCCCAAAATAAATAATAATATCCAAAAATAATCTAGAACTTAGCACGATCTCGATCATACATGGCTATTTTGGTAATGGGCAAAGGAAATCAACCCCAACGTCCGTAAGATTATGGTGGTGGATTTGTGGGTCAGGCTTTGCCCAAATGGAAGAAATCGAACATGAGACACGGGTTTTACTGTGCTACCCACCGTTCCTTTCTCGAATATAAACTTTTATATAGTTATGCTGGTTATTTTCAACAGTTTGACACGTTTTTTTTTATTTTAATATTTGAAAATGTAGGTTTCAATTATACTTGCTGCAAATATTAATCGTTGTTTTCGTTTGCTTCCATGAAGTTACATGAGATACCATCCAAAAGTGATTCTTCGAGTTTTATGGGTCCAAAACTGACTTGCTTCACGTAACATTAGAATAAAAAGCACGTGGGCGGAGTGCACCAATAGTTAAATGAGACAAAGTGGACCAAGGTCGGACATTCAAGTAGGGTGTCAACTTTCACACGACAATATTCGAATTTGACACGAATTTTATAATATAAATTTAATTATAATTCAATATAATCTCGAAAATGACCCGACATGCGAATACGAAATATAAACGGATAATATTCGGGTTCAACTGCCAAACTCGAAATTGACACGATTAACCTATTTATTTAAAAATTGACACATTTTCTATTTTTCGTTTGTATGATAACACGAATAATAAGAAATTAACACAATCAACATGTTTAATTAATATTATATATGATGGTGCTCGAAAATACTCGACCCAAGTGCAGAACTGTGGATTTAAGATCCAATGACGGGGGTAATAGTGATATTTAGATTAACAAGGGAATACCGGATGAAATTGGGTCAAAACAGTATATAAGTAGTTCACCTAACCGAAGGACTAAGGTTACGTTCACTGTAATGGAGATTCTTGCTTTTAGAGGCTTATATTACCTGAAGAAGAAGATTACAATAGGTTTTCTGGGCTTAGAGCCTTTTTCTTACAGCGCCTTGTGAATACAGACTCGTTCAAATTGTATATACAAAGTGATAAGTAATTGATTTAGAGTTTTTTTTGTGGTTTTTTCCTCTTTTTGCTGATTTTGTGGTCTCTTCTTCCTTTGTCCTATAATGGTACTTACCACTTGACGCAAATCGTGCCCACAACCTTTAAACGGAATGTGCACCAATATTCCCTTTGCCAGGGAGTGCACGTTCGTTAGTGGCTCCAGAAAGTGTCCCCTTGTCCAGTGTTTTAAAACCCAGTCCGGCCCGACGAGTCAACCCGGTGAACCGGGTCAGTTCTATAAAAAAACTGTTTATGTAAGGACCCTGGTATAAATCTGGTGAACTGTTCAAAAACTGATAAATCCGTGAGAACCGGATGAGTTTAGCAAACGGGCCGGTTTAATGTCATTGTACAAATCTTAGTTTTTTTTTCCATCTTTTGGACATTTTTTGTTTTTTCTTCTTTTGTTTTGCCCTAAATCGTTCCAGACCAGCGATCCAGACTAGCGACCACAACCTCCAGTCCAGCACTAGCAGCGATCAGCCTCCGTTCTAGCAATGATCAACCTCCACTCTAATAGCGATCAGCCTCCACCACCAACGATTGACAATCAGCAGCGATCAACCTCTATCACCAACGACTGATCAACCTCCACCACCAATGACTGACTAGCCTCCAGTCCAGTGAGTTTCCCTTTCTCTCTCTCTCCCCCTTTTTCTCTATCCCTTTTGCGTTATTGGTGGTGGTGAGGCTTACTGCATCGGAGCCATTATATATATATATATATATATATATATATATATATATATATATATATATATATTATATATATATATATATATATATATATATATATATATATATATATATATATATATATATATATATATATATTGATTTGTATTGTGGGTTTTTTGTTTCTGTCAGTTTTTAGTTTATCAAATTAAAACTAAGAAAGGTGAAGAATGACTTTTCAATTCTATTTACTTGTTCTAGTTTTGTTGTATGTGTTTCTCTATTGAAAATTTTGACTTGTTTGGGATTCTTATTGTTCATTATATATAATTGGATTGTAGATTAATTAATTGATAGTAGTGGTAATATTTGTATTTTCAAGTGGAACTAGGCAGTGGTTGGATAATTTATTTTTAGTTTTGTTTATTTGAGTCTTTATGTTATGCTCATGTGCTTTGTTTTGTTTTCATGTGTTGTGCTTACTATAGTTTGAGTATGAAGTTTAAACTTTGAATAGTGCAAATTACATAGATTATGCTTAAATTGATATATTGTCGAAGAGTTGGACTTAAACTTGGAGCCTTGAACTTCAATATAGGTATTTTTCTCTACTTAACTTTACAAGCTGTATTGAAAATTGAATACATTGAAATTGTATACATGTTTGATGATTTTTCTCTACTTAACTTTATATGTTTGATGTTATTTTTATAATTATTGTGATTTTTTAGACTATTATTATTTATAATTATTTTTTAATTTTTTATTATATTACCGCTCCGATCAGTGACCCAATGGTTGACCCATTGACCCAGTCCTTTCACCGGGTTGATGTCCGAGCTGGATTTTAAAACTATGCCCCTGTCCTCCTAGACACGTGGCGCAACCGGAAATGTTCAAAATTTAATGAATACCGAGTTCCCTGTTCTCGAGCTGGATGTTGCCAAGCAGGAGCATGCCGACCTGGAAGTCATTGGACCTTCTTGTTTGGATATGTTTGTGTAATAATAATACCATTAATGGGAATGTGTTTGGGTTCAGGTACACTATGGGTGGATAGAACAATTAATTCCAACTTAATGTTTATAATTAGTCTAATACTTTATCATATCCTAACTATGCTGTTTTTGGGTCTGGTCTGGACAAGATGTGAGTTTGTTATCCTAATACTAAATGTAAGGTACTAACTTTACAAAGAAAATAAAAAAAACATCCTACATCGATGCATTAAATATCCTGGACCTTACACAATCTGTAAGAATGGTGAATGGTATGGAAGATTTGGGGATAAGATTTGGTTTATTGCTGAAGTAATCCACTTAGCGAAAGTGATAGCTTTGCCGAACAGATTAGCACTGCCGATTATGATGATATGATATTAAGGGCTTAGTGATTAGGATTTAGGAATAATATATTAGACTTAATCTTTAATCAGTCTCCTCATTTACATCGTGAAAAGCACCGTTTATTTTTACGTGATTAAAATATAAGTGACTTGTAGAAAATATATAAATGAATAGTTAAAATATTTACTATAGCTAAAAATATGGTTAGTATATACACTTTTGGTTAAAAATTTAAAAATGGAAGTCATAATATAAAGTATCAAATTTAAACGATTTGAGTCGTTATTTGTTTTATATGAATAGGACCAGAGAAGGAATTAGGATTTTACTCCGAGGGGGCCACATAAGAACAGTGACATGATCAAAATTTTTATTTAATGAGGTCATTCGTTATGCTATTATCAAATTTATCGCTTGTAATTTTTTTTTTTATCAAAATTAACTTATATATTATACGTGTGAAATTTAGTTAAGATTATAATATCTAAAGATATATTCGTACTACAATCATAAATATTAATAGATGATAATGTCACGGTCCACTTATTGTCTTGTGACATAATATAGTGGTTACGAATAAATTACAATCTTAAATATGAGTTTCACATGATACTTTAAACTAATTATGAGTCCGAATATTTTTTATCGTATAAATAACTTTTTTTTTTCTTATAATCAAAGTGATTGACATTCACCACTTGGTTATGAAAGGACGTTTAGTTTATTTAAATTCAACATAAAATGTGTCATAAATATATCATAAATATACTAGTAAAGTTATTTAGACGGCTCTATAACTCAATTCAAACCCAGCGTTAAGTAACTATAAATACTAGACAGATTAAATCACCCATTTATCCCATCTAAACACCCTTTTGGAAAAATCCAATTAATCCCTCTTGGACACACATGTATCTACCTAATAAATATTATATGTAACAATTACAACATGTTATTATTGTCACGCGATGAAACCGTCCAATAAAAAAATAAACAAATAGATAGTGGAGACCTACATGGAGGTGGTTCAATATTACATAGATAAGTGATTACTTAATTTTGTGGGACTCATTTTCTTATTTGTTTACATATTAATTAACGGTTACACCACGTGGTATAACAGTTATATCCAATATTTTCTCGTATCTAACATATAAGTGCAAAATAAATTTCGGGATATGTTTGTCAGAATAATCTTCCCTTGTTAAAAAGAAAAAAACCATTGCTATGCATTTCATTATTTTGAAGGCCATTTGTTGTAGTGTAATGAGATAACGTTGTTTACTTTTAAAATGGCGCACGTGTTTGGTGTGCATAATTTTACATACATATC